AATTATTAAATAAATAAAAATGTTGTTTGTTTTAATATTTGATGAGCATCGTAAAATTATAAAATTGAATAATCTAACGTTAATATGAAATTGATATAATATTGATTTTGGAATTATTTTAAATTTATATTATTTTGAAATCAATATATACATACATATATACATAGAACTTAAACTGATATATTATTTATATTTTATAGATTATTTATATTTTAACTAATCTTTTTTAGTAATCAAAATCAATAAATAATATTTTAAAAAAAAATTTTAAAATCTTAAATTCTGATTTATAATTTTCAATTATTAATTTATAATTTTATTTATAACTAATAATTTCTTTTTCTTTTATTTGAAACAATGCTATATATAATAATAAATATTAATTCTATTAATAACAAATTAAATATTTTATTTATCTTCCAATTCTAAGATATCCTATATCGTAAAAAAAAAATTAAGAAATGAAAAGTACTGTCGATGATATAATAATTCACAGAATGAACCGTTTAATACTAAATAAAATATTTTATTTGATAATTACGGTTATAAGACAATACATTATATTTGCCAAAGAAAATGTACGAATTATTGTTGAAATGCGATTAAGACTTTTAATCATTATAAAAAAATACATTTATTTGAATATTATATGTATCTATGATAGGCTACGTTTTTTGTAAAATATGCAGAGTTATCAAAAAAAATTTGATTTACGAAATGACAAAGGATAGAAAAAAAAGCATGAAAATAGCCTTCAACTGTGTAAATTGAGAATCCGGATTGTAGGTACAAAATAAATCTGGATTATCTTTGAATTCGTTCTAGATGTTCAACGAATCATAACTTTGAGTGAGAATAAAAAGCTTTTTACGTTAAAAAAGACAGTAATAAAAAAAAGAGTAATATTTATTTAAAAAAAAATATAGGAATTGTTCTTTTATTTTTTAATTATACTAATATCTACATGCAAATACGATTTTCTATGAAGATTCAAAAGAGTATCGGGTTATGTTCATATTAGAATTACTGTTTAATTAATCACGATTAACGTGAGATATGGTAATTATCGATATATTGAATGAAATTCGATTGATATATTGATCGAAGATTAAAATCTATAAATTTAGTAGATTTCGCTTGAATTCAAATTAATATTTTTTAAAAATAATAAAAAAATAATATTTATTGTAGAAAGTTTCCAAAAAAAAAAAAAAAAAAAAAAAAGAAATTGAACAGTATCTTTAATAAGAATATGATCCCGATTTAGATTAGTTAAGACATGTAGAGAAACAAGTTTTTATAATTTCATTATGATCACGACATTGTATGATCTGACAGATTATATGTATATGTTTCTAATGATAGAATACATATAATCATATAATTCTAGTAAAATATAAAAATATTGAATTATGATTGCGAAATCGTCGTATTGCCCATTTATGTCGAATTTTATGAAATTGCAACGACATTGACGAAAAATTAATCTGTCATCGCAGTATAAAAAATATTAAACTCAAAACATAAAACTAAAAATACTAATCGATTAGGAACAAAAAATAATATTAATCTAATAATCAAATAATTCGGATCTATTCAGTTTTAAATTTTACATTGTCGATTCTGTAAATATTCTTAATAAACGGCATAACACGATTGATATTTTTTGGGCATCCGACCTCAGGGTATACTTTCACACCATTTATGATATAGAAAATTTCAATTTATAACGTGTTCATCATATGTATTAACGCATTTTGTCATTGGTGTATACATATGGACACAATGCATCGTAATAATAAAATAAAAATGAGAGATCAGGTTTTAGAATTATAAATTTATCTTTGTTGAATTATAAAAGAGAATATAATTAAAAATGGAATTTTACTATGTGTAACTATTTTTCATGTATTATTAAACGAATTATAAAGACAATGTTGAGAAAAAGAAAAAAGATTGGATACGCGGACCCAAAATTAAAATCATTCTAATTGGACCAGTATAACAACTGTTATATTTTATTTAGTTATAAATTTTTAATAAGCATCGATTATAAGCATACGTAATATTGTTAAAATCAAGTTTTTCTTCATAACCAATGTGTGAATATTTGAATGAATGCAAATAAGATTATAAAATTATACAAAACGAGTGAATGATGCAATATGTGAAAAAAATTATTTCGATAATCAAATTAAAGGATTCTATATAATAGTTACACATGTTCAGAGATAAATTGTAAAAGTAATTTAAGTGTTATATATAAAAATTTAAACATAACTTCTGTTATTGCTGTAAATAACTTTTGTTGAATTGCAATATATGATTTGTTTATGTACTTATCCTTCCTGATATCTCTCTAACTTCATCAGATTAAAATAAAAGATTGTCAATCTCTAAATAGAGCTGATAATTTATAATATTAATAATAAAATTTTATCATATGTAATATATATATATCCATCTTAATGTTTACATCAGTTTTTTTCAGCTCAATTTTTTTTTTTTTAATATTTTACACGATTTTCAGAGGATCAGTATCATTTTCAGATACTTGTACCAATACAGATTTGTTCAACATATTACTTAAGGTAAATGCAAATGTTTTCAGAAAACCACGTTCAGAATCAGAATGATTTGTTAGAATTACACTAGTTCCTTTATGTATTGCATCAAGAACATCATGGTGCAACATTTCTCCTGTAAGATACAAATCGGCGGATATATTTTTTAAAACAGATGCTCCTGATCCAGCACAAACAGCAACAGTTTTAATTAGACCATCTAAAAATTAAAAATATGATATTATAATATTTTAAATTTAAAAAAAAATAAGAAAAATAAAAAAAAATTCGATACCTGTTTGGAATGCACGAGCTAATCTAATATGTTTCAAATTAGTATATTCTTTCACTCGTTGGACAGCTTCATCGATAGAAATTTTATTCTTTAAAGTACATAGTCGTCCGAAACCATAATCACTATTATTCACATTTGCTTTTATAGGTATACTATTTTTGAGCACTTATATATAATATTAAAAATGAAAAATTAAATATAACCAATACAATCAATATCATCAAAATTAAAAAAAAAATCTTTTAAATTTACCATTTTCAAATGTGGAAGCTAACCAATCATTTACACCACCTCTAATCGAATCAAATGTAGTATGCGGAGAATACACAGCTATTTTATGTTCTAAACATTTTGCAACGATTTTTTCCTAAAATTTTTTGTTTCAATAATTTAATTAAAATGTTTATGTAATAAAAATTTTTCATTACCTTCCATGAAGAATTTGTTATGGATTTCATAGGCGAAAATATTAAAGGATGATAAGTAATAATCATATCTGTTTTTAAATTTAAAGCTTCTTGCATTACATTTTCAGTTAAATCATTTGTTAAAAGAATATGTGAAATTATTTTTTTTTCTGTAGGTTCAATAAGCAATCCTACATTATCCCAAGAATCTGCAAGTGATAGATTTGCAAAATTTTTAAGTATATTTACAACTTGATTTAAAGGAATCCCAGTAGAATTATTCTGAATATCAGTCATTGTACAAAATGTTTTATTATATCTAAATGCAATATTGAAAATTATCAATTTATAACTTTTTTTAAATCCACTGAATTGCGTAAACATTTAGAACAACCTAAAACAAGAAAAGAAGTAAATTTTAAAATATAATATAAATATTTAGTTTGTAATAAATGGGAAAATTTAATGAAAAATAAATAAATAATTTATTATTGTTTATTATTGAAGAATACAATTATATAAAATAACAATTATTCATTATAAAACCAAATTTTCACTAAACCATCATCACTAGCTGATGCAAGTTGTCCAGGAATAATGGGATTCCATTGTACAGAATTTACATCTTGAGTATGAGCAATATCCATAGAACAAGTCATTGTAAAAGTTGGTTGATGAGGATCAGAATCACTATCTTCTTTAAATATTCTAATAATGTCATCACCACATGCAGTCACTAATAAACCAGTTATTTTACACCAATCAATGTCATAAATTGTCCTTGTATGATAACCAGTTATTGTACACACACATTTCCAAACAGACTCATTATTTGTTGTAATAATCCCTGGTGCATTACCAGGCTTATATTCTTGCCATATTTTCACTGTTTGATCATCACTACAAGTTGCAATTCGATTACTCTGTTTATCCCATGCAAGACTCCAAACTGTTGATGTATGAGATGATAATGTTGCTACACATGACCAATCATTATCCACTATATCTTCTTTGAATATTTTTACTGTATTATCATAACTAGCAGATGCTACAATTTCTTCATTAGGATGCCATCTTACCTATAATAATTTAAAAATATTAATAATTAAAATTTTATTATAAATATCATTATAATATATATTTTAATAATTAACATAATATATAATATTATAATATATATTACCTGTGATATATATACACATCTACTTACCTTCTTGACATCTTGAGTATGAGCATTAATAACAGCAGCACATTCATATTCATCATCATTAACCTCCCATATCCAGACAGATTTATCACGACTACATGTAGCTAACAAATGTCCACTACAAGACCAACTAACACTTTTCACTTCATTCTCGTGTCCTTCTAAAGTTGCATTACACTCAAATTGTCCTGTTTTTTTATCCCATATTGCAGTTGTTGCATCAAAACTAGCAGAAGCTATATAATTTCCACAAGGAGACCATGCAACTTCTCTAATAGTTCTAGTATGACCCTCAATAAGAATAGTTTTTACAACCCATTTAGGATCTTGTGGTCCCCATATTATAATTGTTTTATCTTCACCACAAGATGCAAGATAACTACCCTTTGGATGCCAGCAAATATTCCATACCCTTCCCCTATGACCACTCAAAGTTTGTTTTAATTCCAATGTCCCCATTTTTACCTGCAACAATAAATGCTTGCTTTTCAAGCTTAACTAAACTGAATATGTTAAGTTGTAAAAAATAATTATTATTGAGGTAAAATAGTTAATCTTCTTGAATTAGTTAAGACAATTCTGTATTTTGATAATTTATTCTGTATTTATAAGATAATTTATAAGTTCTAAAAAAAGCATATTTTTTATAATTTATTTTGCAATAATGAAATTTTTTTCAAAAAAATAAAAAAATTAGCGAGTTTTACAAATTTTTTCAATAATATTTATTATGTTCACATTCTTTAATATTATTTATATTATTGTTATATTGTTTATGTTCATAATATATAATTTAAATTAAATTCCAATTGTAATTTATCTTCTAAAAATGTATAATGATTCTGAAATTCAAAATATATATATATATTATATATTAAATATATATATTAAAATATGCACAATTTATTTTGTAAAAAACGAAATATTATGTATTGATACATTTTATATATATAATTTGGCTGCTTTATATTATATTTTAGAGAACATTGAGAAGAAATATTTATGTGAATAATGAATATTAAAAAGATCGTAAATGATTATAAATATTATTATATTTAAATATTTAAAAAAGTATTTAAATGTGTAAAAAATACTTTTCAGACATAAATTTCAAGAATCATATGTAAATTAACAATTATTATGATAAAATGATAAAAAAATATTCGATATAACCTAATAAATTATATATTAAAACTATATACTTACGATATAAGTTTTGAAAATTTATTAAATTTGCATATAAGAGAATGAATTATTAACAAGATTTATTACTTTCATGTACTTTATAGCTTAATAATATACATATGCACGCAATATTAAAAACATAATAAGTTCAAATATCATGTGCATGATATAACCATGATCATGAAACCCTGACTGATTAGACGTTTAAAATAGTTATTTTTAATGCACGTTTAAAACAAATTATCATAAAAAATACTCCAGAATTTTAATTAAATATTAAAAATACTTACGATATAAGTTTTGAAAATTTATTAAGTGCATATAAAAGAACGAATTATTAACAAGATTATTTTCATGTATTTTATAGCTTAATAATATACATATGCACGCAATATTAAAAACATGAGTTCAAATATTATGTGCATGATGTAACCATGATCATGAACCACTGACTGATTAGATGTTTAAAATAGTTATTTTTAATGCATGTTTAAAACAAATTATCATAAGAAATACTCCAGAATTTTAATTATCATTTATGAAATAAATAGATCATTATCATTTATATTAAAAATTTAATAATTATTAGTTAAATTAGTTAAGCAAATAACTTTTAAATCAATTTTTTGGAGGCAGATATAAAATTCTAAAATTTATAAAATTGTATATATGTTTTTATTATTGTTATAAAAAAAATATTATATCAAGCATAAAAACTAGTATTTTATATAATATAAATCCATAATTTATATTTAAATTTTATATTTTGTTTTTTATAAATATAAAATAATTAAATTATAACTAATTTATATGATTATATAGAAATAAATATAATAATTATCAATCTGATATTATATTATATGATGTAGATACTGATAATGTATCTGTGTCTGTTAAAGGTAACATTTTGGTGCAAGAATCAGGAGTCCTAGAAATTTAAAAAAAAAAAAACAATCAAAAGTTATTTTTTTAGTGTTTTTTTAATTAAATTAAAATACTTACACATCTTTTAAAAGATGCAGAACATGTTTATGTTCAATACCTTCAAGCCATAAATTTAACAATTCTTCTCGTTTACATCTTAATAATTGTTTGCAGGCATTCAAATTTTCCTTAACAGCATGAATTTTTTCCCGAGATGCTGTTACTTTCTCTGACAAAGCACTAAATATCTATATTAGAAAATAATGAAAAATATTATCAATATCATATATATAATTATTATTTTAAATTATATATTAACTTAAATTATATATTTAAATTATAAATTTTATTATAAATTATTAAACTATAAATTATATATAAATTATATATTTACTTGCATAACTTCTGTAAGATCCTGATCATGTAATGATACCAATTCATCAAGTCTTTGATCACTCTTTTTGTATTCTTTTTCAAGTTTAGCCTTTTCTATTTCTCGTTGTTCATTAGTTTCACTTGCTGATAATGCTCGAATTACAGAAATCAATAAACCACTCTATAAAAAAACATAATTAAAACAAAATTGAATTAAAACTACAATTTTAAGAAAATTATAATATTATAACAATTAAATAAATGAAAAATTAATAAACTTACTGTTTCTTTAGTTGGTTTAATACCTCTTGGAGGTTTAATAGGTGGTATTGAATTCATTTTTAATAGTTTTTACTAATAAAAATTTTAAAAATTTCAAATTTTAAATTAAGCTTTTTTTTGTAACTAAAATTGTAAATAAAATTTGTATTATGTATATATGTAAATTTAAAATATTACATAGGTTATATTATTTTATATTATTTTTAAGTTACGTAAATTCATAATATTTTAAAAATAAAATTTTTTAAAGAATTTTTATTTTTAAAAAGTAAAAGTATTAAATAATAATTATTTAATTATAAAATTTAATTATTATATGTTTTGTTATATAATACAAGTTTTCAGGATGATATTAGATCACATGATAACTAACAAAGTGACAAATAGCTATTTGAAGATTATATACATAAGTATAAATTCATGTTTATAAATCATGTTTTGCAATAATAAAGATATTAATAAATCAATTCATCTTATAACAATTCTCTTTATTGATATATAATGTTACATTACAACTTAATATATATATATATTTTATATTTCAAAATAAAAATAATGAATTTTGTGATGAAAAAAAAGATCATTAATATTCAAAATTTTAATGTCTATTATAAATAATGATGTATGTAATTCCAATTATATGAATTACAAAATATATAAAATTGTGATTTTTTAATTTTAAAAATAAAAATTTTTTTTAGACATCCTTATTTAATATCTTATATAAATTTCACGTCGAAAATAAAATATATACACATATTTCCTGTAAGAAAGGCTATTGTCTTTTGACGAATTTTTAATTTCGTCGAATCTATTAGTTAATAATTTTTGACTTACAATATTTAATAAAAGTATCACAGAATGTATCATATAATTATATTGTGTGGTACTTTCAAATTGCTTATTGTATATTATATTTAATTTCCATTATTTTTATATGGCAAATAAAATATAAAGAAAATTATTTTGTTGCAATTTAAACAAAATTTAAATATAAAAATGTTCAACATAAACTTAATTTGTAAATTTGCTTATAAAAAATTTGCTTCAGAATTAATATATTTTTTGGTATCAAACATAAATCTTTTGTTTTAAAATTTTTTAATTTTTAAAAAATTTTTTTATCAATTTTATCAATTTTTTCAATTTTAACATGTTGAAACATGTAAATTAAAGTATAAATATTTTATTGATGAATTAAACGTTTTATTATCCAATCAAATAGATTATAAAAATTATTGTAAATTATGTAGATATTATTTTTAGACAATATAACTTTATAAGAACAAAATTCAAGAAAAAAAATATAATAAATTAAAATAGATCAATGTTTTAAAGATCATTAAGGAATGTATATTGTAAATAAAGTTTTTAAATTATTTAAAAATGATTATTTAAAAAACGAAACTATTGTTTCAACATGGTAAAATATACAATTTAACATGAAAGCTTCATGTTAAATTTACATTTGTGGTAATTGATCAATAGGTGTTGCAAATCTGAAATCTTCTGGAAATAATTTTCCCGCATGAGGATACATTAATTTATATGATTGTCTAATTGTAACATCAGCTACACCAGCAATATCACCAATTTCTTTTTGTGATCGTTTATCTTCTGATGCCTAAACAAAAAATAAAATTTGTAAAAATTTTTTAATTTGTAAAGATTATAAAAATATAATATAAAAAAAAATATATTATATAAATATATATATATATATATATATTACATACTTGTGATGCCATATAAATTGCAGCAGCAGCTACCGAAATTGGTGATCTTCCAGGTACAATATCAATTTCCACAGCCTTTCTTGCAATATGTGTAGCAGCCCTTTGTACCATATTTGGAAGTCCAAGATTAGAACAAAATCTTGACATAAAGTCTCCTGTGGTGATGAGATCTACGCTAGTTTCAAGTGCTTTTAGAATCAATTTAAAACATCTTCCTATTTCCTTTTTACTTATCTTGCTAACTGCACAAATTTCTTTAAAAGTACGAGGTACACCTTCTTGTCTACAGGCAATATATAAACAGGCAGAAGCAATTGCATCATTTGCACGTCCTTTTAGATTTTTACCATCATGTACTTGTTTAAATAAATTATTTGCTCTATCAACAATAGTTTTAGGTAAATTAATACGATCAGCCATTCCATTGATTTCACGAAATGCATTGATTAATGCTCTGTCAGAACTGCTCATCTAAAACAATAATTCATTAACTGAAAAAAAAAAAAAAACATATTATATCATAGCATATAAATATATAGTATAATAATATTTACTGTACGTCTATTTTGGTATTTTGAAGCACCAAAAGCATCAAATGATGCTGCACCAGTTCCAGGGCCAATCATTGTGGATAAATCTGAACCATTAAGAAGAGGATTTTCTGGACCACCAACACGTGATGGATCAACTCCAGCTTTTTCATTGCTAAATGTTCTCCATTCTGAACCAACATCTATTACTCTATATATAATAAAAGAAAAAAAAAATTAATTTGAATTTATATTATTAAATAAATATTATTTTTAAGTTATGTATATATTTACCTATCTCCTACAACTAATCCACATTCTGAACAAATTTGATCTCCAGCTCTATAATCTTCAATAAGAGGTGCATCTGGATGTGCATAACAACAAACTTTGTTTGTTTCATGTCTGCAAAAAAGAACTAAGAAAATATGTACCAAATATTAATGTATACATGCATATACATATAAATATTATTGATATATTTATTTTATTATACTTATATTAATAATTACAAAGATAATAATTAATGACATTCATTTATAATTGCTTATATTAAAAAAAATATTTAAAAGATAAAAATGTTTTATTTTTATTTAATATATCCATATACAATGTAAAACATGCTGAAATATTCAATTATTCTTTTAAAAAATGAATTATATAAAAATATATAATAAATAGAATAATATATTATAATATAATATATTATATAGAATAATTATAATAATATATTATAATATATTTCTAAAATATAATTTATCAAGAATATATAGAGAATAAATAAATAATATTGTCAAATTTCATAATCATAATATAATAATTTTAAATTAATTAAATTTAATTTTAAATAATAATAATCTATAAAGTAAAACATTGTAATTAATGCTATCGATGTCAATCAAACAAATAAAATTTTCTCAAAATTTACCTTGACGAACTTGCCATATTTTGGATTCGTGTTTTTCCACTCTGCCGCGTAAGTCAATGTAGATTCTTAATATCTCTGTAATATTCATACATGTATATATGAAGTATAAAGGACAACATACAATAATTATTTTCAAAATTGATTCTGTTAAATTAATTATATAATATAATAATAATAAGATAAAGAAATTAAAATTAAATATAAATATCATATATATTAAATTAAAAAAAAAATATTTGATTATTTATAATGTTAAAGATAATATTTAGATACAATCACTGTCTACTTTAAGTACAGGCTGATTGTTAAATTTGGCAGCACCGTCTTTACTAATATCAGGAATCTATTTTAGCATTGCGGTAAATATAAAAACAGAGTATAATTAATGTTTTTTTAAAGAAATAAATCTAAATTATTATATATATTTCATCTTTAATAATTATATATAAATATTATAAAAATATATATGTATTATAATTGTAATAAATGGATATAAATGTTAAAAATGATTGAAAGATTATGAAAATATTGAATACACTTAAGATTATGATTTTTATATTTAAAATATTTAAATTTGTTCAAGTAAATATTAATATAAATTAAATTTAAAATATTTTATAAAGAAAATTATAGCTTTTAAAATAGATAATTATAAATCATAAGTTAATACAAATGAAAAAAAAATATGATTTCTAGTGAAAGTGAAAATGATTAAATATATATAGGAAACAAAAATTGATAGAAAAAGTTACTGAAAAAAATTTATATATAGACAAGATATTGAAAGATAATATATATAAAAATTTAAATGTTTATAACAATATTTAAAAAATGATAAGTTTTTAAATAATACATTATCACTTTTTTATTTTTCTATATATATATAGAAATATATATTTTTCTATAGATTTTAATATAAATATTAATCATTTTAATTTTCGAAACAGTAATTTAAAAGAATTTTAATTTTATATTACATTATTTCTATTCTATCATGTAAATAATAAAAATATTATTAAATTTAATATAAAATTTAAATTTCAGAATTTTATATGATATAATTAATATTATAATTTATAATTATTTATTCTATGAAAAATGTATTATTATAAATAATTTTATAAATAATATATAAAATTGTCATCATGATATTGTCTTTATATTTTTTCGTGATATTATTTTTTATCCAGTTACATTATAATTATTGAGTTTGAGTCAAATCGAATTTTAATTTTTAATCCTTTAAATAAAGAAATATTATGGAAGCACATGATTTGACCTACAAATATAAATTATATATAATTACTCTTTATTTCCGATAAGCAATTTGAAATTGGCGCATATCGATACTTAATTACCCAATTAGTTGAAATAAAAAATCAACATAGCATCATAGAATTTTTTTATTGAAAGTTAATTTGAATTTGACGCATACTGGTATTTTAATCATCCAATCTGATTGGATAAAAATTTAATATCATCTAATTTACAAAAATTATTCAAAATTCTCAATTTTATATATAAATAATTTTTAAATTATTAGATTTCAAGAATTAAATATCAAAAATAATCATTTCTAGATTATGCATATCAAAATTTATAAATTAAAAAAAGTTAAGAAATTTTAATATCTTTTTATAATATATATACTATATATATACTAAATTTTTTTAATTTATTATATATTTTTAATTATTAATTTTTCCCATAATAAAAAAAAAATTTTTATCCGTATTTTATAGAAGTGTTTATATTAATTTATAATCAATATATTTAACTTTAATCAAGAAATTTATTTTGTGACATTTAACCTACAATGTTATATTGAAGATAAAATAATAGTTAAGTTACATATGCATCATATATTTTGAAAATGATATATTATTTAATGTAAATGCATATATGAACTATAAATTTGATACATTAAATAAATAAAATCAATATAATTAATGTAATATTTAATAATGATAAAAGATTGTGTAAAAAAATTTCATATGAAAATTAATTGATACAATTAATTATATAAATGAATTTATATAATTAAGTTATTTATAAGATATAAATCAGAAATTGCAATATATTTTAATTGTAATAAAATTAAAAAAAAATGACGTTGGAAGATGCACAAAATGCAGCAAAAAAAGCAGTACAATTTGATGGTAAAAATCAATATAAACAAGCTTTATATTATTATAATATGGCTGTAAAGTATCTTTCACAATTACAAGATTCTATATATGTTCAGAAACTTTCTGAATATCGAGAAAGAATATCAACTATAGAAAGCCTTAGTGAGTATTTCATATTACTTTGTGATATTATACAAAAACTTAAAAAAGACTTAAAGTTAAAGTTAAATGAATAAAAATTAATATATAAATTAATACATATAGTTAATGAAGAAGAACAGAAGCATCATAAAGCACAATCTATAGATCAATCAAAATTACAAAAATTTAAATTTCTTATGAATCAAGCACAGGATGCAGATGAAGCTGGTTTAAAGAATATTGCTATAAAATTATATACAGATGCTGCTGAACTTGGACTTAATATGGTAAATAATATCATTTTTTATTGTTTAAATTTATAAAATTTGTTAATATTATATTTACAGAAAATTATTGATGCAGAAGCAAAGATTAAATTAACAGATCTTATAAAACTTGCTCTTGATAGGGCAGAATCTTTAAAAGGTTTAAAATCTATAGATAATAATGATATTCTTAAAACTCTTTCTAAATTACCTTCTGTACCAGAAACAAGTCTGGATGAAGATGAAGAAAAAATATCACCTACAATTATAACAACATCTGCTATAAATTCTAGTAATACAGGTAGTTTTCTTTTTATTGTAATATAAAAAAATATATATATATATATATATATAT